TTAATACTGATTAGCAACGGTTTAACTGTAAAAAAGTATTTTCACTATAGTAAGTGAAATTATAAAAAAAGTGCTGACTGACATGGCGCGCAATGGAAAGAAAACTGTTGTCAAGCAGTTGGCCGAGGGTTCGTTTCCATCGATGGGAAAACTAGTCTCTCTATGATTCATTTCGATAATTAATTGGTATCAAATCTGCCATCAACTTCCTCGTAAGCAATCCTCAAAAAAGGGAGTTATCAGAAGCCTTGCAAGCGAGTGGTTGCTGTTGGCAATCGCTACTTTCAGAGTACTTCTGCTTTTAATAAGGAACTGGTGCGAGGGGGGCTTGATTTTAGAAAACAAAAATGTCGAGTGAATTTATTACTCAGAAAAAAAGCCTTGCTGACTTGGCTTTCCTCATCTCTGAAGTCACGTTTCTAGTATTCTCTTTTTTGTTTTCATAAGAAGAGAAAGTGCTGTGTTTTATCATACAAAAACGCTGGGCCCGTTCGATTTCCTCTAAGTTCATCCATTTGCAAAATGGCGCTTCCTTTGCAAAACAAATGCATATTTATGCACTGCTAAAACATAAGCTTTCACTGTCTCTTCACGAAATTTTTCATCCTCAGATTTCGATCTCAAAATGTATTCGTGATGTTGTGGTATTTTTGTCAATATCAGCCATTATTATGTTATGCTTTTCACTGGGTGTCAATACGATGTATCAGGCTTATACGGGAAATCGAGTGCAAACGGCTGATGGTAGTGTCACCCAGATGAAAGAAACTTACTCCAGGTAACTTTTCAGTCCTATGCAAGTCTTCTAAGTAAAAGTCTAGTCGCATGTTGCGTATAAACTCGTACACCACGTATAGACTTTCTTAAAATATTTCTGGCAAAGAAAGGATGTTAGGAGAGCTGTGTTTCATTCATAGTTTAACTCAAAATCCCTACTTTTTTAATCTTTTTGCAAGAGGTGTGAAGTGCTTTTAAAAGAGCAGTTATGTACTGGAAAGCTGTCCATAGTTCATTCCAGTACTTAGGAATGACAACGGTTTTTAAGTCAGTGGTGAGCCATTTAGGCAACTTGTGACATTCCGTAAAGGCAAACCTTGTCGAGGAAGCTGAGGAACCAAATTATTAAAAAAAGATGAATGTGAACCGTTTGCTGGATACAAAACAGTAATAGGGTGATGCAATTTTCAGTCTGGGAATAACATTTCGCAATTTATATTGGTCCTTTTACGGTTATCTGGCTCCATGGGACTATCAGCTAATTGTGGGAAATGCTGGCCCCAATCAGGAACCAACCGAACATGCAATCACGAATTATATCGGAGAAGTGACAATTGCTGCATTTCATATTGCCGTTGTGATTACACTGCTAAATCTTATGATTTCTATGTTAGTTCGAACAGCAGATGATGTCCTGGTAAGCTTTCTTTCTTGACACTTATTATTTTAAACAAGTGTCTTTTCACTGCACGGCATCAGCCCGGCGAGAATGGTCAGCATTTTAACAAATGGTCAGTCTTTTGATGATGGTCGGCCTTTTGCCTTCAGCAGCTGGTCAGTTTTTTGGTGACTCGGCCACTTGTCTTCTCGTTTTCTTCTTAAATTTCACTCGAATGCCTTACCAGTTACCGGCATACGCCGCGCATTTACTGGGCGCCACCTGCAAAGGAGTAAGCACTACTGGGGTGACCACGAAGAAGTGGCGTGCATACATCGAATAATTAGTGAATACTGACTGGAAGCTCAAGATTCAAGGAATTGGCACAGCTATCACAAGCGTATGGGAGCATTACTTATCACTAACGTAGGATATCTACACTGATTGACAGAGTAGTGCTTGATATTTTTGGTGTTTTTCCCGAGAGAGAGAAGCTGACTGTAGATGTTTTGGGATATGCAAATTTTATCGGCTGCGTATGCTTGGTAGACTTTTGCCAAAAATAATATACATCCATCTTTTTGCTTCGCGGTTGTTCAGTCCTTACCACTGGATATTTATTACAACTCTGCGAAATGACAGCTTCCATCACTGCGACAATTTACTGTTAGCTGTTGTTTGCAGAAAAACGAGGATCTGGAATGGAAATTTACTCGGTGTCATATCTATTTGGAGTACTTTGAATGGTACACTGCTATACCACCACCATTTAATCTGCTTTACAACACTGCAAGCATGATACGTATGACAATTTCGAGCGACTACCAATTTGTTATTCCTGTAGGGATTTACACTGTTCTATCTTTCAATTTCAACTAGCTGCTCTTTCATTTTCAAGTTACTTCTCGCCATTAATTCATCTGATAACTTCTTCACACCTCTTGTTTCGTATTTCTCTTACCTGTGCAATTCAAGGCGATCGTTCAAAAAAATCCTTCCCTAAGACACTGACGGCCTTTCCAAGTTTTTTTGTCCAACACTGTATGAGTACTGCCCAGTAATCCGCTTTAACCATCTATTATCTCTTGTTTTTGCCACATGACCAGCTAAAAACCCATTACCTTGGCCTATGCGTGCCAGCACTAATTATGTGAAGCCAGATTATGCCTTATCGATTGGCCCTAATAATGATAAGTTTTGACAACAATTCACTCTACAGCGATGGATAACCCTCATCGCAGCTGCAAATCTGCTGCAACCAAAATCTGATTTTTTCTTAAAGGACTAGTTCTAGTTCTTTTTTTCTTTTTTTTGGGAACCTCGATCCTCACGGAATTTCTGCCATTAACCACTGATGACCTTCTTTTCTAGGATTTATGGGTTAAGAGTGAGTTCTTGGATGCACCGCTGGAAGAGGACATAGAGTCTAATCTTTTATACACGGTAAGCTAATTTCTTCTAATGCTTTTTTGCGGTGCTGCGCTATAGCGATGCAGTAGCCGGCAAAAACACGTATTGTGACGACGACCCATGGTGTGTGCGTATGTGTGTGTGTATGTGTGTGTATATGTGTGTGTATATGTGTGTGTGTGTGTATGTGTATGTGTATGTTCGTCCATCCGAATATTACAACTTGACAACTGAGCAATATTAGATGATGAAGCTACGCCAGTGTGCTACCTGGCCAAGTGCGACCTTCACGCACGCCTTCCTGAAATTAACACTCGCACGCGTTTTCATTCCACGCGCAGACAATGTGGGTGGAGAAGTTGGTAATTTGGGAAACAGAAATAGGAAGCTGAAAAAAAAAAAAAATTTTGAAGGGATGTTTCTCTTCCAGTGTGATTCAGTAATTTCAGATCCATTTCTTAGCTACGCTTGATCCCCACGTACAGATACGCAGAAGTTTTAGCGGGAAAACTTCCTACTCGGGAACTAAAAAAGCTTGAAAGCCGGAATTTTAAGGGAATGTTCCTTGTCATATTTGTGCAGTCCGTAGATTTCAAATTCAGTTTCTTTAAAAGTCCTTGCTTGAGTTGACGTGAGGGTTTTCTTCGATTGCCTGCACGGGGCGGCACATTGAAGCTACATGTAAATTCGGGTTATTAAACCTTTGTTTGTGTGAAAATCTTTATTTTTTTACCACTAATTTCGATTACAAATATAATTATAAACGAATTTGTTTGTAACTTAGTTACATAAGTATGTGGTAATTTAAGATGCTTGTAATGATACTACTAATAAGGGATCCCCATAGCGATTATCCAGGTGAACTTAGTATAATGTTTATCTTGATTTGCGTACATGATTTTACCATGTTAATATATGAATAATATAAAACGTCTTTTTTCT